GTGTAAATAAGTTTAGTTCTTTCTTAAGAAATAATATCAAATTTGATAAAGTAATTTTGGTTTATGATATCATATAAAGATATGATATGTTTAAATGTATCTATAGTAAGTTCAACATATTTGGTATGGACCAAAAACATATTAAAAGTATCAAAAGACATTCTTTGAAAAGTAAAGGTGTTGTGAATTTGATTTTGGGAATAGAAGTTTATGTAAAATAAAATTTTCAAACTTAAAAAGATTTTAAAAATAAATCTATTATTGTGCAAAAAATACAACATTAGCGAAAAGAAAAATAGTCACACAATGGAATAAATAAGAATAATTAAATGATTGATATATGCAAAACATACATAAGATGAAACATTAATTTTGTAATTAGCAAAAAGATTAGTAGACTTATGATCCAACAAAATTACATTGAAGTGATATATGAAGCAATATAATGAGACATTATATATTGTAACAAAATCATTTGGTAAAGAAAATGATAGTTTAATGCAAGTGAAATTACCAACATGATAAATCTAGAAATGGATTGGTATGCATGCATGGTGGGGGTAACTTTCATGGAATTTGAAAAAACAAAACTACATTAAAAGCCTATTGTTTTGTGAAATTCATAAGGATAGGATATGCCAAGTAAAAAATAAAGTAATAGTTATAATACTCTTAGGGCCTAAAGCAGCATGCTATAAGTTTATTGTGATAGTTTATTTATCAAAGGTTAAAAGCCAGGAAAATGAAATCTAAACACATTGATTAAAACATATCTATGTGAAAATTATGACAAGAGGTGCGCACCATATACTTTGGCAAGCCAAGGAAAATAAATCCTTTAACAAAAAAGAATTAAAAAGAAATAATGTTTAGATTTTCATAAAGGATAGGACACTAACCCACTATTTAAGTCACACATGATGAAACCTCAACCTAACACTTAAAAAGACATGACTCTTGAGTTTTAATGAGTTTAAGTGCATCATTTGAATGTGACTGCTAGTATTTAAGTTATATATGCTACCCTAAGGTTCATAAGTACTTAGAACCACATAGACAAAATAAGAAGGTTGAGTTAAAACTCTTAATGGACCAATAACACTTTATAAAGTGTTGGAATGCCTTATAAGGTGACATTTCTGATGGAGTTCACCTATATGAGTAGAAGTGGTGTCGTTTTTAAAAACTATGATTTGATTTTGAAGCACTCATGTAAAAGATAGAAGACAAATGGCTAGTGAAATTATGTCAAGCATTGCTAAATGACTTTTGTTAAGGTGTAAAAGATTATATGTAATTTGGATCATGACTAATCACATAGAATTATTGGTTCGAAGACTTAGTTCTACCATATAATTTTAATTAGCTCAAAAACACCTTATCACTAAAGTGAAAGTTTTAAATCAAGTATATATGATACTTTCACTTATGCATAAAATTTCCAAAAATGTTTAACTTGTTGTATTTTGAAAATAAGTAGGATAATGCTGGAAATATTTTTAAAATGGTGAAAGATGATAAGTTAAATAGGGAAATGAGAAATCAAAGTTTAGAAAAACTTAAAACAAGCTTTGGAAACAAGAATAAGTTGAAAAGTGAAGTTTGGCTAAGAGTATTCGAATGCCATTTAAAAGACATTCAAATACCATCTTTTTGTTTGAGGGTATTCAAATACCCTATATAAGGCATTCAAATGCCCACTCATTGCTTTAGGATATTTAATAAAAAATCACTAGGACATTCGAATATCTTATAAAGGGCATTTGAATACCATTTTTCTATTCGGTCAAAAAATGTGATTTTCTAAGATAATTTCTCTTAAAATGAGACTTACTCATTTATAGGTAATCTTTCATTATCAGAAAGATGAATAATTATATCCATCATTATTCATAAAAGTGTATTTAAGATATAAAGACATGTTAATTCATTGAAATGACATAAGTTAAGGGACACAACCCTTAGTTTCATTCTTTATAAATAAATATTGCTGGAAGTCATTTGAAGCATGTTGTTTAATGTTGAAAATGTGTAGAAATTCTACCAAACTCTCTCCTTTTCACTTTCAAAAGAAGATAAATCTCTTAAACTTTGTTTTTTTACAATAAACTAGTTGAAAATGTGTAGAAATTCTGCCAAATTCTCTCCTTTTCACTTTCAAAAGAAGATAAATCTCTTAAACTTTGTTTTTTTACAGTAAACTAGTTTAAGACTTGATATTTCCGTGCCTCTTCAATAATGTTTAGTTGTTTGAATCTCACTAATACATGGAGAATTCAAACAATGTTTCATTTTATCTCATAAGCTATTTGAATAACCCTTATTGTATCCAAAAAATGGTAAGAGCAAATAAGTCTGAAGGAAATTGTTTTCTAGTTTTTGGTTATTATTTGTGTGAATTTTCAACCATTGATGTAATGGATGTGCATCAACAAATAGTGAACTTGGAACCATTTTCATCAATATGAACCAGTTGTGATACCAACAATTACATTAAGGTAAAAGATTTTATTAATTAATCTAGTCTTGGATTATTTTATTTAATTTCTTACACTTACGAAAAGTTTTTGAAGAGTATTATTGTCTTTAGGATTAAAAAGGATATTTTTATCTATCTAAATGTTGAATTTTGTCATTTTATTTTAATTTGATTCAAATTTCCCAATATATATATATTGTGATTTAAAGACAAAAATATTCCACTTGTATCAAATTAAAAATTAATATATATATATATATATATGTGCAAGGGAGAAAAATGTCAATGTCAATTAAAAAAGTTTAGAAAATGGCTTTGCAAAAAAGATATACCTTCTGTGAAATATTTTGACTTTGGAGTATCATTACTCATTGTTATTATCATTAGATGGATACTTACGAATTGTTATGGGCTAATTTATTTAATTTTTTTTTGTAAAATTTATCAAGTTAAAAAAGCAAAAGGTAAAAAACAAATAGGGCGACATGTAGATATATCCATTAGTTTCATTTTCTCGTAAAATTTATCTAATAAAAAATAAAAAATAAAATTTGAAAAAAAAGCAAAAGGGAAAAAACAGGCTCATAGAAAGTGTTACATAAATAATTTCATTGAGTTGAAAATATTAATTTTTTAAATTAAAATATTAAATAATAATTTTATTAATATAATATATATAAATATGAAATAAAATTAATAATAAAATATATTATATACATCCTAAAATGCATTAGGATAAAGCATTCTAAACACGTTTGAATTTTATTTAGTTTCTCTTATAAAACTCAATCCCTTCCAATTCGATCTCAATTTTGAAAAAAAATTTATATGTCACATCAATACTTCAATTTGTATTTTTTTACAAAATTATATAATTAAAAAAGAGAAAAGTATATAAAAAAGAAAAAAGACATAATAAAGGAAAAAAAATGAAAAATAGATGACTTGATGTCAAATGCTTCCCACACAAAAAATTACAAAATATAAAAAATAATTTGTTAAATATAGAGAGAAGAAAAAGTAAATTAAAAAAAGAATAAAATAAAAAAAGAGAAAGAGAAAGAGAAAGAGACAGAGACAAAAATTGAAATGGAAGAGTTGAGAAGTGGCAAGTTGAAAGTCAAAGTTGCCGAAATTAATAGAATTGCTTCTATTGGATCAACCAAAATAAATAAAATCGGTCTTATTAGATCTGGGTGATACATGAAAAAATATTTACAGAGGGCAAAATGCGTAAGATTTATATAATGGTTTAAAAAACAAAAAAATTAAAAATTAAAAACCTAAAAAAGGGAAATAATGGAAATAAAATTTTTTAATTAATAATATCAAATAAGTGCATTGTTGTAAGGCTTAGTATGTTATTGTAATATCAAGTGAGTTCCACACAATTTTTTTTAAAAAATAGATAATTTATTAAATACATAAACAAAAAAAAAATTTTAAATTAAAAAAATGAAAAAGAAGAAAAAAAATAAAGGGGTTCATGTGGCTGGTCCAATGGTAAGTCATATTTACCAAAATTAATATATAGGATGGTTTCATTGATAAGTGAAAATATATATAAAAAATTAAAATTTTGGTTTTTTATAAAATAAATTTTCTATATTATTTTTTATTTTAAAAATATTTTCATTAATTATTTTATTATTTTTAATTACTAAAAAAGGATATAACGAATGAATGTACTTTTATGTTGAATTTTTTCTTAAAATAGGGAAAGAATTATTTCCACTTTTTAAAAAGTAATAAAAGTTTTCACTATTTTATCTAAAGATAAGTAATATAACTTTTATTAAATTTAGTGTTAATATTTGTTCAAATCATTTTTAATAAATTTTTATTTATCTTCATACTCAATTTAAAACCATTAAAATTTCAATTATAAATTTAGTTGAGAATGTATTACTCATCTTTAAATAAAATAGTAAAAAAATTTTCAAAATCATCCAAAATCAAAATTTAATGGCAAAATTAAATCAAAATCACCCAATATATAATGCTAAATTAGAATGTTTAGCATTTTCTTTGGCATGATTTCCTATAATCTCTTTAATTTATCTTCAATATAATCACAAAATTTATTCCTCAATAAATAAGCATGATAATAACTTTTGTTACACAAAATTAGGGTAAACCTATCTACTAAGGGTTCTTTCAGCATTTAACAATATAATAATTTATTATCTCATTCAATCTTCTTAGAAAGGTAAATATCATTTTTATTTATTATTTTCGTTAACTCTTTGGATTGCCTCGTAAAATGTTTAAGTCATTTTGGTATATTAATAAAAATCCTTATTGTCATTGACTTAATTCCTTCAACATATAATTAATTAATTTATTACACAATAAAAAAGTATTAGACAGAATAGGTGAAGGAATATTTTGCTGTTTTTTTTCCAAAATTATAGATATCATCTAATTTCTTGGGTGATTTCTTTATTCATTGCATGATTTCTTATTCATTGCGTGATTTCTTTATTCATTGCATAATTTCCAAAATCTTCTTTTGGGTTAAATGGAATTGAATTTCTTTCCCCTTTATATGTCTAGGCCTTTATTTTATGCATCGGTTCTTGGACTCAGCTTTTTATCAAAAAGATTTAATATAATTAATCTTTCCATATTGTTCTTTGAAATTGCCATGCTTAAGCTTTTCTTTTCATTTCCCTGCATGTTCATGTTCTATTTGGTTGCAGCCATCGGCAAGGGGCAAATACATGACATTGGTGGTCAAAAGATTGATACAACTTGGTTTGATGCTCATGCAACATTCTATGGTGATATAAGCGGTGGAGAAACTATGCGTAAGTATTTGGTACCATCCATTCATTTGTGAGTAGATCATGCTTTTTATAAATCTAAAGCATAATTTAGTCGATTCATGTTTAAGATGTGACATTTATAACAGATTTAGAATTCAAATTTCAGTAACTGTAACTTTTTATCTTATTTTTAGACTGCGGCTGTTATGTATAAAAAAAAGTATACATTTTTATGATTTAAATTAGGCAGTTATCACTGTAAATTATGTGTGAGTATTGCAGAAGGAGCATGTGGATATGGTGATCTATTCAAACAAGGGTATGGACTTGAGACGACAGCCCTTAGCACAGCTCTATTTAACAAAGGACTTACCTGTGGTGCTTGTTTTGAAATCAAGTGTGTCAATGACCCTCAATGGTGTTATCCAAAAGCTGGCTCTATCAAAGTGACTGCAACAAATTTTTGCCCTCCAAATTACTCAAAATCTGATGGAAACTGGTGCAATCCCCCATTAAAACACTTTGATCTGTCTATGGCCATGTTCACAAAACTAGCACAATACAAAGCAGGAATTATTCCTGTCATGTACCGTCGTGTTTTGTGTTCCAAGAAGGGTGGGGTTCAGTTCCAGGTCAAGGGAAACCCCTACTGGACTGTGGTGTTGATTTACAATGTTGGAGGTGCTGGTGACGTTAAGGATGTTAAAATCAAGGGCTCAAGCACTGGGTGGATACAGATGAGGCGCAACTGGGGAGTGAATTGGCAGACTGGAACGAAGTTAACAGGCCAAAGCTTATCATTACAGGTGACTACGAGTGATGGAAAAATGGTGGAGTTCGATAAAGTGGCACCGGCTAATTGGCAGTTTGATCAAATTTTTAACGGAAAAAAGAACTTCTAGGAAAATTTTTCTTGAGCCTCTTTGCATTATTGTAGTGGTGGATTTCCTAAATGCGAGCCCTTTGAGTGCATGCTTTTGATGCAAATTGTTCTTGATTAGGATGTGTTTTGGTGTTTCTTTTGTGGAACCAAACAAACCATTCGCAAAATTGTGTCACATTTTTACGAATTTGGATCTCTGTTTTTTTTTTTTTTTTCGTATAGGAAATCTGATCATGGTCTAATCATTGCGTGATTAAAATTTTCAATCGGGGCTGATATTACTCAAAATCATGCTTTTTGATAATGTTCATTCACTTGTGCTTCATCATGCTTCATTTGGAAGATTGGTGGAAAAAGATTTTCATTACCCTATGCAATCGTCCTATCACTGCACCTCAAATGAGCATTAAATACTAAGATTACTTACTCCGTCCTTCCCATCATGCAAGCTAATAAGATCACCTATTCCATCCTCCCTATCATGCAATTACAAAGTTCAATATTCATGTTGACGACATTTAATAATACGAGTTTAGATAAGAGATAATATCGAGTAGAGTATCTATTATTTTTTAGATATCCATGCTCGAATTTGGTTATTTATTAAAATATTTAAATTCAATAATTATTCAAATACTTTTAATTTCTGTTATTCTAACCTTATTCATATAATATAGGAATTATCTATTAAGTATCTGAACCCTATGAATACTCATTTGTTAAGTGAAAGTTGAATTTTCAAACTTAAATTTAAAGTTAATTTTAATGCATATTATTAAAAACTTTTAAATTAATAAATTAAAATTAATTTGTAAAAAATAAATTAAAGTTGAAAATTATAATCAAGATATTTAATGAATTAATTTCGTTAAGTATTAAACTAATAATAAATAATTTAAAAATTAAAAATATATATTATTTATAATCATATTCGAGTAGTGGATATCATAAGATCATTACTCGAACCCATGATGGATAGTAATTTTACTAGCCAAATTTGATTATAAGATATCCGAAACCTACTTAATCAAATCGAATAGTTTCAGATACCTGTTTATAGGTTACGGGGTACCAATTGCCATCCCTCTGTTTAGATCTATTTCATTACATTTTTGTTCATTATTTTTCAATGTAAGTGAATTTAAAATAATTTTCATCACCATTTTCAAATATTGCTCTCGATGTGCTGGTAGGTGTATTGTTTAGGTATTTGCTATTATTAGAAATTAAATTTGATTATTAAAATTAAAATTTTAATATTTTATTAATAAATTACACTATTATTAACTTTGATAGGTGTATTTCTTCAACTTGAATCGACTGAAAATTTATAATAATAATCAATAATCATTAACTAATTTTGATAAAAATATATATAATTAAACCAAATTTAGTTGATTAATTTAATTTTAGATTGGTTAATAAATAGTAATCCTTTATGTACCATCCTAGTTGCCTACTAGAACTTCAGAATATTTCACTTATTTGCAGTGTTATTTAATTTTCTAAGTGTAGTTGAAAGAACATTGTCTTTTTTTTTTTTTCATCATTTAAAAGAAAATTAACACATCGTATCTTTATTCCTTCTTTGTATATTTGAAGGAACATTTTTATCATCATTTAATTTATTTTTACTTCTTAATTTATTAACCCACTAATTTTTATCTACTTTATTCACTTGAAAAGAATATTATGTCTCCTCTTATCTATATTAAAGGAGAGCTTGCAGGTTTTTTGTTGACATGGCAAACATTTGGTTAAATTTCATCGGATGAGGTTAATTATAATAATTAACAAAAAAGATTGTATAATTAGGGGCATAATTAAGTTGGCTATTAGTGTTTTGACAGCATATGTGGGCTTACCTTGTCATGTTTAGAAGAAAGAGTGGAAAAAACATTGGTTTATATGCAATTTTAAGATAGTAAAATTACATGTCTTACAAAATAGATGGAAGAACTTGAGCACATGCAATGCCTCAATCTAACAACCCCCATTCCCTCTAAATTTCACAATCTTTCCCTTCAATTTCTTGACACCTATTGGGATAGGTATATATTTTATTCTAAGTGTATTTTATGAAGACAATGGCTTGAATTAGTTTAAAAAAAAAAAATCACAGTAAAGTGCGTGTGTCACGGACCTAAGGGGGAGTCCTGAATCCCACATCGAACATAATAGGAAGGTCCCTGGGGTATAAAAGGGTTCACACCATCTCCGCCTTGTGAGGCGCTTTTTGTAGGACAAAACCGTGAGGCCAGGGGGCCAGAGCGGACAATACCTCACAATGATGTGAACCGTGGCGGAAGGCTGATCTGGGACGTCGGAAGGGTAAATGTCCGGATCCCGAAGCCGCACGGGTTCGGAGCTTGAGTCTCGACCCGTGACACGTGCATCAACTCTAATTTTTCATTAAAATTTTCAGAGTATCAACTTAACTTGTGAGTTTTTAAATCTCAATATTATTTCCCAAATGATCAAATTTAAGCATAGAATGCTTATTACCTTTTAAATTTGGTCATAATTTGGACGCTAATTCTTTTTCGCAGATGAAATTCCAAACTACTAAAAAAGTCTGAAATTAGAATTAATCATGGTAACGTTGACAGCCAAGTGCGTTAGATTTACTTTTCTATTGAGATACACTTCGAACCACATAAAATAATAATAATTAAAAAAAAAAAAAACAGTACAGAACTCTTAAGTTGAACAAGCTTCAGAGTGATGGGGATAAAAAAAAAAAAAAAAAAAAACATTTATCATTTATTTTATGGTAATATTCAAATTTGTTATTTATCGTTGAACGAGTGTAATTTGATTGTATGTACGGTGATTAAATTGTACCCGTTCAAATATGAATCATAATTTTGTCCATTATCTTAAGGTAATAAATTTGGATCTTATTTGGAAAAAAAAATATTGTTCAATGCTAAGATCTCAACTCTAGTCAACTGTTGCCTAAAGCTTGGTTGGAGCCTAATGACTGTTTATGGTATGGCAACATCTGAGCATTTTTTCATGTCTTTAGACTTCATACTAGCATTTTTCTCCAATAAGATCGAAATTCTGTGTGCTACGCAGCTCTAGTGTGGATAATATAGCTGATGCTTGACACCTAGTCCGCTATCACAGGGTTATCATCTATATGGAAAGAATGACCAGGAAAGCAACTTTGCAAAGATGGCATCTCCTAGTTTTCGCCTTTGGGTTTCGGTAGACTATGGGAAGGTTGGAAATAGCTAGACTAAATAGCCATTCCAGTACCAGGACACCAGAGGAAGGTGAAGCTGGCAGTATGGGAGCTAAGGAACACAAATCTCACCTATCTTTGTTCATGTTGTATGCTGAATCACCGTCCGGACGTCCCTGGCAAGTCCTTGGTAGTCTCCTTTTTAGTTCATGGTGATGGTTAGCACTTTGCATTGTTCCTTTTTTCCTGGTACATGGAAGGTTTACAGTTTCTGATCCTTCAAACAAGTACATCAAAATCATCAAGAGTTCACTGGGATTGTCAAAATCATATGCTAATAGGTGTAACACAGCCACTATGTCAGAAGCAAACTGAGGCAAATGATTTGTATGCCAAAAACTGAGGCAATAGAAGTTAAAGCAGAAATATTACTATATCATATTCAATACCTGTCCCCAATGGCTTCACAACACAAGCTGATATTTGTAATTCCAATGGATGATGGGATAGCCATAGAATATGCACAAGTTAAACAAAAGAACTGTTCATATTTATTGATTACAATGAATAAGAAACTTATGAACATGCCAGAAAATGATGTCACTTGAGGCCAGGAAGCAAGGGATTTGAATCATTTGCAGTAGAGAGCATCCCCAGTGAAAAGCACAACAAAGGCTGAACATATTATTACATCTCTAGCTCATTTTCCTTCCTGTGCTGGCCACGAAGCTTCCACCATTCATTTCCAATCAAGCATGTCTAATAGCCACAACACCTCTTCTTTGAAACTGGCTGCATCACAAAAATCCATTTCAATGCCAAAAACATCAATGATGCCATCGTTTCCATCCTCCATGAAAAGCAAAGAGATCCACGCCCGGATTCCCGAAATGAAGGGGTAGTTTGGAGAAAAGTCGAGGTAGTCGAAAGCTAGGGCCCTAGAAGCTGTACGATCTATATAATCGAACAGGGATTTATTAATTACGCAGGCAACCTTATTGGAGTCCTTCCGCCCCACAAGCACTGAAACACTCACAGTCTGGCTCCAAGGAACATTGAACCTTGGCTCAACAGCTAAGGTCATCTTGTACTCAGGACCCTCAAGATGAAACTTAAGCATGTCACAAATTCCAGTAGGTGGGATCTTGATTCCAGTTTGGAGGACAGGGCCAGGAACAACTTCAGAGAAAATCAACTTATCTTCAGTCCAAATGTCAATGAAGAATTCCAGATCATCAAAGGAAAGTCTTGGAGGGAGAAGAGTTCGCCGATGTTTCCGTTTATAAAAGGCTTGATACAGTTTGTAGTAGGTTACAGTAGGAGGGTTCGGCCGCTTGCAAATGGAAGGCCATCTCTTAGCACATAAACATTTCCAAAAGTAATCATCTCTAGCTATGTTTCTCCATTGCTTACAGACCGCCATGCAAGCTGCAAGGTCTATGCCATCTAATAAAGGAAAAACAACCTTCAAAACTTCTTCACATGACATTTTCAGATTGCAAAATGACCATCAACGGCTGAATGACAGTTTACTGCTGCAAATTGCAATCATTTATAGCATCAACAGGTGTAAAGCAAATAATAGCTGATGGATTCCTGTGAATGAGAAAATCAAGTTTTAAATTCCAAGAGCATCTATGGATCAGCATTAAGTTCAAAATAAGAATGCTGCACATACATGACGTGGCAAGAAGTCCATATTGTGAAAACAGAAAACAGCAACATGTAATGATGCATTTAACATAAAGCTAATATAAAAAGGTATTCACCTCCATTAAAACTAACACATTCTTTCAGGCAATCTGGTCAGTGTCCTTGAAAAAGATGATTAAACTTCAGTTTTTTACCTCCCAAATTTGCAATTAGCCTATTCTACTGAAAAACAATCACATCAAGTCAATAAACTCTCTGACTAAAAAGTCAAGTTTCATCGACACCATAACATTAATCTATGATATGAGAGCTAAACCCCAACTCGATTACCTTTCCTCCATAACAGGACCAGACACACATTGTAATACACAAATGCAAATAGCAAAACACACACATCATGTGATTCTAAAGAACTCAACATACAATATCAACACTTCAACAACATGATAAATCGCCAATTCGAGACTAAGCACGATTATATACTCCACATAATACCTATCTAGCCTTATAATTCACATAACTAGAAATCAAAAACATAGATAATCCTTAAGCCTATGCTTAAAATTTCCTCAAAAAACACATGTTTACTTTATAACAACTAAAACAAAAGCCAAATTACAAATCCATTAAAATACATAAAATATAACCCTAAAAATAGGGTCAAGCCATTAACGACAAAAGTCCATAAATTTAACTAAATTAACCAAAAGTGAAAAAAAACCCATAAACATAATATCAAATCAAACCTAGTATTTCATAATACGAGTAAAAATAAAAACTTTCTATTTCACACATGAAAAATTCGCCAAAAAAAGCGAAAATTTTGAGAGAAAGAGGGGAACGGACAACCCCCAGATCGAGATAAAGCAAAAGAAATGAGAAGGAGATTGGGTACAAATAAATGAGTTAGAATTATTATTCACCTGGTTTATCGGTGGGATTTTGGGGAAATTTTGGGAGAGTTGGTTTGTTTTTTTTTCTTTAGCGTTGAAAACAAACAAAGAAAAATAAGGTTAGGAGAAAAGCGGAGAGCGAGAGGAAAATAATTGAGGGAGAGAGGCTGCGGATTGGAGAAAGTCGATGAAAGAGACAAAACCTCTGTACCTAAAGCCAAAGCAATGGTTAGTTTAATCAAATTGAGTATTGGATTTTTCTTTATAATAAAAAGATTTTATTATTTTTTTTGGTAAAAAATAAAATTTGTGATAAATAAATTATTTAATTTTTTAAATTAAGATAAGATGTATCGCACTTGACACATGTGATTGTAAGTCATGTATTTGATATGATCTCAACAAATTATCACCGACAAGATTCAAATTCAATATTTTTTTATAAAAAAAAACGATCTTAATCGATTGAATCAATTATTTATTAGTAAAAAAATTTTATAATTTTCTTTGGTATCATGTACTCCAATAAATAACAGTAATGATGCAAATATTTAATTTTCTTAAAAACTCTAATGTTTAATCACTCTTTCTTTTAATATAATTTCATAAATATGATAAAAAAATTCTCAAAAAAATAGTAATAAAAATTCTCACAATTTTAATTGAAGTTTTTTAAATTTGTATTAGTATAAAAAAATTTAAACATATAAATATATTTTTTTAATTTCTAAAAAGAAATTAGGTGGGGAATAGATTTCACAAATATGAGATTAAGAGTGAGTATTTCTCGGTCTAAACCGATTAAATCTACTTAAAATCAATAATTCAATTTATTGGTTTAATTTTTTTGGTTTCAGGTTTATTTTAGATAATTTAGTTTATCGATTTTTTATTTTAAATTTTACAAACTGAATTAATTAAAAATATTAATTTTTATAATTAAATATTTAATAAAATATTCATTTACCTTAATAACCTTAAATTTTAAAATTTTTATTTAATTCAATTTGAATAAGTGATGATTACCATAAAATTAAAAAAAATAATAAAATTTATTATAATTTTAATTTAAAAAGATTATTGTAATTATGATTAAAAAATTTTAATAAAATTTTAATATTAATTTAATTTTATTAAAATTAATATTTAAATTTAATTAAAAATACAATAAACTTCGTAACGTATTAAAAAATGCGGTGGGATCCAATCGTTTCTCAGTAGCCTCTCACCTCCAATCCTCTACTCTGTGTCTCTCTGGATCTCACAGACTGACAACTCTCTGGAATCCGGCTGCCACTCACATCGTGCGTCTCTCATCTCTCACACCACTCTCGTCTCTCATGCCTCTCATCTCTCACGGTCAGACTAAGGTCATTTCCCTTCTTCTTTTGCCAAGCGACTCAAGATGAAGCTAGATGTGTATTTCTCCTTTCGTCCTTTTTAATCACTCAAGATTTGATGTGTTACCAATTACTTTGGTACGGGCTTTTTTTTTCTCATTTCTATTGTAATTTAGGAATTTTGTTTACACATGTGATTTTGTAAATGATTATGCACTACTGCTTATTTTGATTGATTGATAAAGATTTGATATATATGGTAAAGTGTTCGTCTTGTGAATTTTGCTTGATAGTTCTTATAAGATAAAGAGAAAACTCAAATGATCATTGAATTGAATTGGTTTTGATCATCATCGAGATCGATTATAAATTTTGGTTGTGGCTTTTGTAAATGGGCTTGTGGCATATGGATGGTACTAACTATTATATTTGAGGCAATACATGAGAATTTAAATTGAAAAAACCAAAAAAACCTATTGAACCTACATAAGTCACTTTGATTTATGTAGGTTTTTAAAGCTTTGATCGGTTGGTTCTTATTTTATATAAATTAAATAAGCTAAGTTTATTTTTCGATTTTTATAATTAAATTAACTAAATAGATTGTTTGCTTTCTCTTAAATGAGATGAAATGAAAATTTTAAATTTATATCACTTATAATTTTCTTTACTATAATATTATAATTATTCAATTATAATAAAAATATATAAAAATTCATCACTTGAAAATATGAGTTTTAAATAATTTTTTATGGATCTCACTAAGAGTGTAAATAATACATTAATACTCATAAACTATTCGAGATCGATTCGAATAAAACTCGAATTCGATTCGATTATTATCGAGTCGAGCTCGAGCTCGAATAGCTCGACTCATTGATCGAACCAAATTCGAATATTATTATACCCGACTCGAAAAGCTTGTGAGCCTAATCGAGTTTTTATATTTAAATATTTTTTATTATTTTAATTAATAAAATATCTTAAATTTTAGCACAAATAATCGAGCTCTTGTCGAGTTTAAGAATCGAGTTTATTTTTACATATTAATTGACCTTAATCAAACAAGCTTACGTAACTCGATTTAAATCACGAATCGAGCTTGAGCTAAAAAAATAAAACTCAATGAGTTCGGGCCGAGTATTGAGACATGAGTTGAGAATCGAGCTCGAACTTAAACTCGAACTTCTCACTATATCGACTCGACTCGATTATATCCTTAGATCCCACATAATATTAAATTATGATTAACTAATTATATTGTAATAATTATAAATTATGCACTCTCAAAATTTCTCATCGGTCTGCAAACACACTCTCAACCCCAAACCTGCTATCATCAACATCCCTAACAATTATATCATTACTCATAATATCTGGATTATACACAATTAGTAAGAAATTGTAATAATGAATTTTAAAAACAAAAATAATCTTACATACTTTCTGACACTTTCAATAGAAATTTTGAATTCTATATCAAAGGGATTTAAAGCGTGTCATATTCTTTGTTAAAGTGTATTTAAAATAATTAATAAATTAATATTTTTAAAAATTCTATTAGTAATATAGAATAATTTTTTTGAAATCTTTTGATTTTTAAAAATATATATAGCTAAAAAATATATTCATTTGTACAGCTTTTAATTAAACTCAATCTTCAACAAATTGTATTTTTTTTCCCTTTTCTTTTTTTGGAAATGGAAAACTTTGTTAATAATTGTAGATAAAAAAAATCAAAATAAAAAAAAAAGTAGAAAAAAACTGTTTTGTGACTGATGGATTGGGATTTGATTATAGCTGATTTGTCATTCTTTTACCATGGGGCCCAACTACATGGGCTTACTTTGGACCATCGCAATGCATCTTTGCATTTTATGGCCTTAGCGGCCGAACCTCAGGCCTGGCCAGACAATCCCAGCTCAAGCCTAGAATTTTGGTACCATGGGCTTTGTTGTTGGATCCCTGAGCCTAGCAATGAAATACTTTTCATCTTTTCTACTACCATTTTCTTCAATGGTAAAGGGGTAGGGTAAGGTAAGGTATACATTCTTTTTCCTAATGTTCTTGTTTATTTCCACTTCTGTGTTTGTTTTACGATAATAAGAAATTTCTCTCAAAAAGCTAGGATGAATAATTCATTATAAAAAAATTACATAATAATTATGAAAAATTATATTAAATATAAATGACTAAAATTTTAAACTCTCCATACATGGACTTAGGGCTCGTTTGGAGATGACATGGCGCGATGAAAGCCTCCTTACCACATCGAACCCTCTAAAATCTAGGGTTTTGATACGATGGGAAGGCTCTCTCACTATATCGTGGCATTTAACCAAACTTTAGATGGAATTAATGTCAAACTCTTGTCCTTTATGACTTGCTTAGCATGACTTTGCCACTTTGGCAAAAACTTGATATAGTTTAATACTTCTTTCATTTCTCCTTTGTACTAAGGAACTGCCCTTCTCATGTATCACTCTCTTATCTAAAGTGTAGGTAGAATGGCTATATTCTTTTATTTCAAAATGCAAGATTGAATCCCATTTTGCTTTCTCATAGGCTTTCTTTATATATATGTGTAAAAAAAAAAAAAACTCGGATTCAAATACAAATCTTTAATCGATATATATATTTTTATAAAATGATCCTTTAAACATTAAATTTAGAATTTCTTTGAGTTGGTTCATGCAATCAATATTAAAAGGTGCCATTTAATAGGTTTAGGGTTTTAATCCCAACATTTGTATTCTTTCTTCTATTTCCGGATTTCTATTTTTTTTATTTTGTAAAAAAAATCCTTTGAACGTTACTCAATCAACCTAAATAGCACTTCATTGGATTAATTTGATTTTTTCCAACTCAGTAAATATACACCTTTGAATCTTAGATTATATATCAATTATCCATGTTTTTTACCTTTTATCTAGGTCCAACATTGAACCCCACTCTTGTTTTTAGCTTTGGACTCCGAAAATGCAACCAAGAAAAATTCATGGAAAAAAAAAGGAAGAAGAAAAACCTACACAAGTCTCAAGCAACAATTGTAGCATGCTAGACAAAACAAGTGGGTCATGGGGGTTCACCCAACAAAAAATGGTGAAACATCCATGTTGATTATGCTACCTTTTGCCGACCAAAAAACAAAAGGAATAAAGCACAAACCAGTGCATGACTCAAACAGCTGAATTCTCTAACAAAACTTTTTCAATGAACCCATAATTCTAGAGAAAAAAAAAAAAGGGAAAAATCGTTATATTTACATCACATCTAGTATAAGTCTCAACAGTGGGCCTCATTATCTCTTGTCCTCGCACTTCTATGAGCTTATCCTTTTGGGAGGAACCAAGCTACAGAGAGAAATGTTGCTTGACAAGTCTCTATTTGTAATTTTGTATGAGTTTACATTATTTTGTTAATACTGTTCACACGTGATTTTGCAAAATTACCAGTCTCATATATTGCATAGATATGATCGTCGAATGATAAATTAGATGTGCATTGAAATTCATTGATTGAATATGTACCAAAAATTAAGGCTTTCAGAAATTAAGAGGCTGTAGTGCAGACATCAAGGATGTTATTTATTAAGTATAATTATATGAATTAATTGAATTAAATTTTGAATTTAAAAATCAACGAATTTTTAATTTAGTGATAATAAAGAGGAGACCCTAAAATCTTATATCCAAATTCTCCTATGTGTGGGTTAAATGTGTAAATAATATATTAATACTCATAAATTATTCGAATTCGATTATAATAAAATTTAAATTCGGTTCGATTATTATCGAGTTAAGCTAGAGTTCGAGTAGCTCGACTTATCGATCAAGTCAAGTTTGAGCATTCTTATACCCGATTCGAATAGCATGCGAGCCTAATCAAGCTTTTATATTTTAATATATTTTAATTATTTTAATTAATAAAATATCTCGAATTCGAGTTTAAACTCGAACATAGATAATCGAGTTTTTATCAAATATAAGAATCAAATTTATTTTTATATATTAATTAAGCATAATTGAGCGAGCTCGAATAACTTAATTTTTATATCAAGTTGAGCTTGAGCTAAAAAAAAAAATTCAATAAAGTTCGAGTCAAGTTTCGAGGCTTGAATTTAGAGTCGAGCTTCAGTTTAAACTTAATACTGTATCGGCTCAAACTCGATCAATTACATTTTTAGTGTGGGTTTGATTATTTAATTAAGTTATAATTTATTAATTGATTATTTAGTGATATAATTGTTGATTCTATAAATATAATACTTAATTATGAGTATAGTTTTAAAAAATGGATTTAAGAAAAATAAAGATTTCAATTTTATGTGGACACATGAGAAATTCATGTATGAAAAATAATTTGAAAATTTTTAATACTTATAATCTTTTTTTTTTATTCTCCAATATCCCATCTCCTTTAAAAAAAATAGTTTGAATATTATAGAGTGTATTTTTTTTATTTTCACTTTAATTAATAATTATGTAGTGTATTAATTTATGAACAAGACAATATAAATAGAATTCCGAAAGGAATAAAAATGGGGTTTGGACTTTGGACTTTCTATCAAATGTGAAGAAATTAAGGAAAGATTTTATGAAAATAAACATATTTTTTCAATGTTAATTAAGTATCACTTTCCAAATTTTCTTGATTTTTAACAATACAAATTAAGTTTTAACCAAATATAATACCAAAAAAAAAAGTGTTAACTCAAATATTATCCTTTTTGGGCTTTTCAACTACAAAATTTTTGTGCTATACATTACATTTGAAGAGGTGAAACACTTGCCTATGCTGCCAATGCTGATGAGCTGTGTAGCTCCTTTTGTCTCGGTAATTATATGCATAATTTATTGAAACTATCACTTTTTTTTTTTTGTAAAGAAAAATTTAAGGTAGATAAATTGTTCAGTTTCTCAGGTTAAGATAAAATATATCGTATCTGATAGTTTAAAACAGATGATTGTAAGTCATGCATTTAATATGATCTCAAGAAATGACCACCGATAAAACTCAAACTCAAGACTTTTTCATCGAAAAAATAATATTTAATTAAGCCAACTACTTATTAATTCATGTTTCTTTGATGCTTGCATGTTTGTTGTCTTTTACATGATAATTTAATGATTCTTTTGAGTAATAAGAATAAAATTTATTGGAACCTTCCCATAAAATAAGCTTAAATATTTTCTTTGTAGCTCAACCCAAAGTTCTCCATCACAACAAGCATGGACTTACCACTCTTTCTATTTCTTTTTTTTTTTTAATCATTTTTGTTGCTTTTTAAAATCCCTCACTTAGGATTGACTGATCCACAAAGAAACGTATAATTTAAGGCAAATTCCGTTATCTCATTAATAATTAAATGTTATATTCATATAATTAACTGAATAATAAATTATTATATCATAATTAAGATACAATTATTAAATAATTAATTAACAATTAAAATATAATTAGATAATCAAATACACATATAATGAGATTAGAACTTAAAACCTCAAGATTCTTTAAAGAATGAAAGTGTTGGAGAGATAATTTTCTTTTAAAACTCAAACATGTTGATGACTTTGTCGGAAAAGATTTGATTTAATGTAATAAATAATTAAGTTGGTAAGTTGAAGAATTTTTTTTTTTTATCAATTAGGATTCAATTTTTTGTGGAAAAATATTTGGAGAGTAAATATACTGAATGTATTAAGTTTATATGAACAAAGTAATATAACCCTGATCGTTTTATAAAAAATAATTAAAAGAATGATCTCACTAAATAATTTACACATGTAACACATGTATAATCTCAAATAAACCTGAAACCCAAGTTCAAACATGTGATTTAAATCCAGTTCTAATAATAATTATAAATCATGGATCGAATGATCTAAACAAAGGCAAAATAAATATAATTTATATATGGGAAAGGTTGAGGCTGAGGAAATAGGATGAAGAAAAGAAAAGTGGGTGCTGGTAACTTGATCAGGCCCATGCCGGGAATGTGCTGAACATGCTGTACATTTCAAGCTGCTTCACTGTCTCACCTTTAATTTGTCACATGCCATCACCTCTTTCAAAGCTACACTCCAAATCCACTCTGCCATTTGCCCCTCCCCACCCCCATGTGCTTCTCTTTCTCCCAATGGGACTTTGCTGGTCCATATCACCTTCACATGCACCTTCTAGGGAAGTCACGATGGCAGAAAACCCTAATTCCAAACTACCTCACAACCCGTTCATTGACTCAATTGCCCTCTCCTTTGTTTGATGAGTTTCCATTGTCTTGTACTATAAAAAGTTGCTTTAATTGTCTTGTTTAATTTTAACTTCATTCTCTTATCATTCTTTATTTTTTTTTATCTTTTTACCTTTTAAATTTTGGATGTCATGTGGGTTTCAATTATCAATTATATTACTAATCTTGTTGGCTCAATTGATACATCGTTTTATCCATCCAATTATCGATTAATTTTACTTTCTTTAAATTTTTAACTCTTTAACACATAATGGAATAACTTTTTATTAATTTTTTGTCTTTGTAGATTATGAATCGCATACTAAGCCATTATGAGAGAGGAGATTTGAATCCTTATTAACGATTAAATTAATAAAAATATTTGAATTTGACGATTAACTCAATTAATTCATATATTTATTTTTTAAAAATATATTCAATAAATTTAAATTTTTAATTTTAAGTTTTATAATTTTTTTCATCTTCAATTTGTAATAACTTTTATAAAAAATAAAAAATTTAAATTTAAATTATAAATACAAATTATAATTATAATCAAATATTATTATGTTCATATATAAAAAATCGTTGAATAATCAAATAAATTAACCGACAAATTAGAAACCAAATCCTCATTGGTTCAAACTCTGAATTCTTCTCTCACAGCTATTGAGAAAAAAGGCTAAGCGGCATGCGATATGCAGATATTATCACTTCTTCCACAGTATCTTTTCTTCCGCGTGTCAAAATCTTTTTCTTTGAACTAAAGTATATATGATCAATTTTAAACCATGTTTTATTTAATAAGAAAAAAGTACATCTTATTTAAATTAAAAAATTAAAAATCCAAAAAAAAAAAAATCCTAGCAAGACTTTTTTTTTTATTAAAATTAAAAAGGCCAATAATGGCATTTCTGTAGAAACTCATAAAACAGGTGGCAAATGCTTAACTTGCCCTTACAAAAACCCCGTTACCACCTCTCTACGCTCTGTATTCTGTCAAAGAAAAAGCTTTGTCACCATTTTTTCTTCCTCCTTTCTCTTTGTAACAAGCCCCAAAAAAACAAAATGAGAATCCAAAAAATCTTCAAAAACCCATTGAAAGAAGCTCAAAGAAAATCATCAACATCAAGAAGTAGGGCAAGAAATATAGCAAGACAACGAGTTGTTCATGCACGTTTCTGTAAGAGAAGAAGCTTTGTCAAGTGTTCAAAGCTAGTTTCAGACAAGCTTGAAGCTCTCAAGACTCTAATTCCTCATCATGTCCAAAATGGAAGTAATGAAATAGTTGAAGCAGAACAGCTGTTCCAAGAAACTGCAAATTACATAATTGTTTTGAAGACCCAAGTCTTTGTTTTGCAAAAGCTTATTGAGTTTTATGATGATGATGATGGGTCTAGAAATGCGAAGCAAAATCTTGTTCAACAAGATCAATCATAGTCATTCATTAATTATTTAAGTTCTTTTGTTTAATTTTTTATTTTCATGCAAGAAAAAGAAGAGAAGATCTTTTGGTGCTTGTTTGATGGTGGAAAAAACGAAGGAAAATGAAAAGAAAAAGCAAAAGAAAGGAGATCTTTTGGAAATATCTTCTATATATATATATATATTTATGCAAATTGTTGGACTTGGAGGCATGTCCCTGTTAGAAAAAAAAAATTCTATTCTTTTCTCCTTATTTTCTTGGCATGTTTAGATTTAGTTTAAAAAAAAATCCCAGCGGATTGCATTTGGATTTGGAACTTCTTTCATACTACTACTAGTATAATTTTTTTTCTTTATGAATATATTAATAATTGAAATTTAATCATTTATTTTGAAGAGACTAACTATTAGTAGTACTTTTGCTGTCTTAAAATTATTGTTACTGATCGATTTTTTTATCAAACAAATTTAACTTTGATAATTTTTTTAATAAAATAACAAATAAAAAAATTTAAAATAAGATTTGTAAATTATGAGTTTCTAATTTTTTAAAAAATAGATTTTTAAAATTTTAATTTAACATTATATTTCAAAATATAAGATCAAAGAAAAATTATTTTAATAAAAAATTATTAAAGAGTAATTATGTTATGACGGAAAAGGAGTAGTATTTTTTAACTTTAGCAATTGCATATTTCGCTCCGACAATTAACACGAAAAATGTCAATTTCCCATTAATACAAGTAAATATATTGCTTTTTAATATTTTTTGAATTGGGTGTCCTGAATTTTATTGAGTGTTAGAGAAACGAGCATGGGAAATTGACATAGTAATAAAATATAAAGTGAGAAATGGAAATTAAGAAGTGGCCCTTGTCATAACTCATAAGGGTGAAGGCATGCTTCTGTCTCTGTCTCTGGGGTTATGAATAGTGATGAAAGTGACTTTGTTACTCAGCTGTGAAAGAAACCCACGTGCAAAAGCCATTTTTTAGGGAAGCAAGCTTGCAGTTTGGCCCTGTCTCTCCAATTCTCTCCTCTCTCTCTTTCTCTTCTGTCTATCTCTTTCTTTGCATTCACATGGGATGGTGAATGCTTTTGCCTCTTTATTTTTTGTCCCAAATATATCTCAATGTGGTTATCAAAGTTTATACTAAATTGAATTAAAAAATTAAGATAATATTTAAAAATTTAATATTCAAATTCAACACATACAACATTTTTTCTATTATTAGATTGTGATTATATATATATAAACTAAATTCTATGTTGTAGATAGATTTGAATTTATGATAGACATAACTTAATTAGCACCAAAAATGGTTTTAGTATCTTCTATTTATTATTTAATTTAGTCCGCAACCAATCTCTCATCATGTTTAACATAATTTTATTGGCTTCAATTCCCCTTTTGGTACATAAAATTTTTAGTGAAAATAAGCTTTTTAATCTTTTAAATCAAAACAAGAAGTGTCTTGTCTTTTAAATTTTAAAGACCATGCGTTCGATATTAATGTGAACGAGAAGCTACAATGGTTGGAATTCAAGGCCATTGAGGTATATCATCTTCTGTGTACATGTTTTCCACGGTAAAGCTTGCTTTGTATCTAGTTTAAGTGTACCAACTGAGTAGAATTATTTTGCAGCAAAATTTTCTCTTTCTGATCAGTTGAAGAAAAAAGCCAGTGCTGAAGATTCATCTACTCTGATAACAATCATGAGGTAATGTTTGATGTTTTACTTGGATCTCCTTACTAGGAAGGAGACTTGAGTTGAATAGGAACTCAACAGTTGAATTTAATTTCTGTAGAAATATATATTGAGGATGTGGGTAATAGTTGTAAATGAACGTGATCTAACAGTTTTTTTTTTTTCTTGTCTTGCTTCACAAAGGCTCTTGTCAGTTCTCATTCTACAGAAACAAGCTTCACGTCGTGTCATTATTCAGTTAACTCGAGCTGCTGGGAACCGAACCGCATATCATCCAGCAGAAAACATTACTTCTGCTTATGCATCTCAGTATCAACAAAATCCTACTTCAGTCACAATATCAAATGAACAGAATCCCATTGGATGGCCAAATTTTTGTTTTGGCTCAAATTTAGGAACATATACTCATCAGAGTATGGACAATGTCTTCACAAACTCAGCACCCTCCCAATCCTCAACATACAGTCTGCCTGTTCCTCAGTCAAATGTGCGCTGAGATACCAATCACCTTTAGAATCAAAATCAATCTTCTGCAACAAGTTATGATTTTTCAGATTTGGACTTGGATTGGGTCAACAACATTGGTCAATGCAATCAACAATCTCCTGTTGTTTATTTGCAGCTTCAAACCTCACGGTCCACATAGGATGAAGAACCATTCAAGGAGGTAAATGAGAGATAAATCATACTACAAAGAGCTTGGGAGCTGCTTACATATTGGTAGCTAGTATGTTATGTTGTATTTATTTTATATTTGTAGAGTAATAAAGTCTTTTTGTTTTGGATTATATTTAATTAATGTCAAATTAACGAGTAATTGTTGTGGTATCATATTGTGATATATCTTAATTATTAATATGATTTTAGTTAAGTGTAATCTCGATATCAATTCCGTATTTACTCCTATAATAGTATGGCTCAATATTGACTAACATGTTAAAAGAAGTCTTTGCTCTCATCTCTGTATACCAGGCTGAACTATTAAGTTTCATAATTTCAGTTTGTAATGAAAGGTAAAGAACAATTCTCTCGTTTCTTTCTGTGTAGCTCACCGTTCTAACGTCTAAAGGTGGCATCACGAAGCACGAGATGGCGATTTCAATTCCGTAGATGTCGGTAATACAAGATTGAGCTCCCGTCTACATCTAGATCAATTTTGTTTCTGTTTAAATTCATGATGGTTTTGTTACAGCAGAACTTAATGCACTGTCTCCTGATCATATATCTTTTGTTACTGGTACGTTTTACTTTGATATGGACACCTCTTGGAATCGTCTAACTCGGGCATAGCTGGTTAGCAGTGCTTGTACATTCTAAAGAAGTAAATATGGTCTTTGTGCCACGCACCTTGAACGAGCAGTGAGAGATAGGTTGTTGTTTTCCAGGATTAATTTTGAAACAGTATTACAGAAGCTTTGATGGTGTACAATCGTATAAAAAGCGGCAGGGACTGAATGATATTGTACAGAAGCAGCTTATTGTTACCCAATTTTCAACATTTATTAATCCAAAAACATCAAATTATTGCAGATGATTCTTGTTAGCAGATTTGCTTTATATTTGACAATAACAAAATTATAAGCTAACAAGGATTGCAATGAACTGAAATTCATGAAAGTTATGGAGAATCACATAGGTTTGCAAAATCTAATTTAACAAGATGATGGAAAGTTGCCCAAGCAATATTCTTTCAGAAATTAATCTTTGCTTCTTTCAACGAAAGAATTATTGTGTTCAAATACTTTTCTCAATTTTTTTGGGCAGTATGTACTTTTCTCAAATTTGAAAATAAGAAATAATTATGATAATTTGGTTTGAGAAAATATTTTTTGTTTTTATTTTTTATTTTTATTTTCTAAAAAATAGTTTTTATTTTTTATTTTTGTTTTCTAAAAATTATATTTGGTAAACAAAAATAAAAATTGTTTTTTAAAATGAAAAAATAAAAAAGTAAATAAAATATTCAATAATATTACTATTAATGTCATCTAATTATAAATATAATATATATTTACTAATTAATGATCTTAAAAAAAGTTTAAATATAGTAACTTGTAAAACATAAGGAAAACAAGTCATTTATATCCCTTCTTTTCATAATTAAAAACATATTTTTTTTGTTTTCATATTTCAACTCATTTTCATTTTTATTTTTTAAAAATTTATTTTCATTTTCAATTACTGAACATATTTTCACTTATATTTTTTGTTTTCTTAAAAAATAAAAATAAAAAATGACATTGTTTTCTTAAACCGACAAATGTTTTGTTTAAAAAAAATAGTCATTTTTTGTTTTCATTTTCTTGAAAAATAAAAAACATGAGTGAAAATATATTTGGTAATTGAAAATAAAAATAAACTTTTAGAAAAAAAATGAAAATGAATTGAAATATAAAACCAAAAAAAATATATTTTTAATTGTTAAAATAAGGGATCTATGTAGACCCCATTTTATTTATTCCTTTTATTTATTTTTTGCTTTTCTTCTTCTCTTTTTTTTTTTTTTTTTTTTTTTTTCTGGCAACGGCTTTGACAGTCGCTTGCAAGCCACCGATGGCCACCCTAATCGTAGGTAATCAAAATCTCATATTTTTTGAGATTTTGATCTTTTTTTTGCTCTATAAATAGAGTTGTAAAAACACGCAAGACAGAGAAGGTATGAAGCTAAGAGACCTTGCAAAAAAATAATAAAAAATAGATTAAAAAAAGACACTGCCAAGTTAAAAAAAATTCCTTAAAAAAAAAAGCACTAAAACACAAGTAAAATCACAGTCCCTGGAATGGGAACCACAGCACCAGTCTATAAAAAAAATAAAAAAAAAAGCCACTTTGGTTAAATCTTTCAAGCTAGATTTACGCGATTCAAAGTCCTTTTTTACGAAATTAAACTCGAATTCATGTTTAGGAGGTGAAGAAAAGATTCTGAGAGATTTTAAATTTTTCTGACGACTGACAGACGACGGTCGGTGACCACCGACGATGATCGACGTGGCAGAGCAGTCGTTGGATTTTGGATTTTAAAGAGAGAAAAGAAGAGCGTCTGAGAGGAAGAGAGAGAAAAAATTGAAAAAAATGGGCTGATTTGGCCTTTAAATAGGCCTTCAAAACAATATGGTTTAGGCAATAAGCAAACAACGCCATTTTAACATTAAAAGATCCGCACGTCAACCCGAGATCAAACTCGAAGTCCGTGCGCTAGACCTAAATACTCGCCTTTCCTTTAGCCCATGATCGGTCCAGTCGAACTGGTCTAGATCGGACCAAATCGACATTGAATAGACCAGACTGACATTGACCGAACTGTTGATCGGTCCGATTTAGGTAAAAAAAATTTTTTTTGAATTTTTTTAATATTATTTTTTGTTATTTTAAATTTTATTATTAATATTTATACATATAAAAATGTTTAAATTTACCAAAATAAAATTTTTATTGTTTTATAATAATAATTAATAAAAATAATTAATAAAATTTATAATAAAAGTTTTTGATAAGTATAATTAAATAAAAATAAGAAAAAATAATTTTATTCGACGATGAGATTCAAAAGTACTCCGAGTAGTGATATCTACGAAATCTCTAGGTGAGAAGATTTTTTTAAAATATTACCAGTGTATTAGAGTATTTATAAAAAAATTTTCAATACAATAAATTTTTTTTTCTTTAATAAAATAATAAAAATTAATTAATAAATTAAGAATAAGTAATAAAAAAGAGAAAAAAATAAATTTTATCCGATGATGGGATTCTAAAAGTATTTCAAGTAGAGATACTTTAAGAAATCTTTAGGTGAGAAGTTTTTTTTTTTAAATATTAGCAATGTATTGAAATATTTATAGAAAACCTTCAATATAATAAAATTTTCATTTTCTTCAAAGTTTTAAATGAAAAGATTAATAAAACAATTAATAAAAATTTCTAAAAGGGAGAATCAAATGTGTGCGCATCAACATGGTAACATTTTGCATTGCATGCATGATGTAATTTTTTTAGGAAAAGTAAATTTGAGCCCCAAGGATAATATTCTAAGATATTCTGATAAGTGATACCTAAGAAATCTTTAAGTGAGAAAAAATTCTTTTAATATTACCAATATACTGGAACATTTTAAGAATTATTTTGATAAAAGAGTTCTAATTTTTTTTTTCTCGAATAAAATTTGAGCGCTAAAAAAAAACTAATTTTCAATAAATAAAAAATATAAGAAAATTATTTTTCAAACACCGAAAATAAGACTGTTTTTATTAAAATCATAGAATAACACGTAGTTAAGTGGTACCGTTTCTAAACGGGCGCTATGGGGGTGCTAATCCTTCCGTACATGTAATCGATTTTCGAACCCAGACTGTTTCGCAGACCATAAAATTATCTTTTTAATAAATTTTAATTAATTTTATTAAAAGGATAAATTTTAATAGGTAACCAATTGCACATAGCCAACAAAGATTAGTGACGACTCCATTATATTTTTATTTTGTTTTCAAATTCATCGGATAGACACAAAATCGTTACGACAATTTATATTATATTTTTCCTTGTATTTTGCAAATTATCATTTTTAAACATTTTTTAATATCATTATTAATTAATATATATATTATATTTATAATTAGATGCCATTAATAATAATATCATTGAATATTTTATTTATTTCATTATTTTTACAATTTTAGAAAATAATTTTTATTTCTGTTTACCAAATACAATTTTTAAAAAACAAAAAATAGAAAGTAGAAACTATTTTCTAAAAAATGAAAATAAAAAATAAAAACAAAAAATATTTTCTTAAACCAAACAGAGAATTTAGGGTTTACTATATAGTTAATTAGTTTAAACATTAATTAACCCTTAAACGTACCACATTTCAATTTAAATATTTTTTACTAAAAAATAATTTTTTTAAAAAAAATATTGACATAATATTGACACGGTTTTAAAAGATGTATTTCACCTATAATTTTTTTATTATAATCTTTTAATTATCCAATTATAACAAAAAATTATGTAGCAAATCATTATTTATAAATGTGAGCTTCATATAAAATTTTGATAGATTTCACATAATTTTAAATTATAATTAATTAATTATAATAAAATAATTACAGGTAATATATTAGCGATTTAAAGTATTTCATTTAAAGAAATAAGATTAAAATTACTCTGTTAGAGAATAAAGATTTTATTTTAATTTAGTGCAAAAAAAAAACTCAATATTTTATAATCATTAAGCAGTAAGACAAAAAGAGAAGCAATGTCATTATTCTAAACATAAGTTAAGCCATTCATTACTTTTTTTTTTTTTTCATTCAAACAACAAAAATAGTACTAATACAGTTTTTAAAAATTAAACTTTGGATATAACTTATATCAAAGTTGAAAATCAATCCTTAATAACCAAAGATCAATTCATGTGCAAATTGTTTCTTGCTCCAAGAACTTTAAGGGATTGAAGTTTGTGGATTTGCTCTTCCCCAGCATACCAATCAGGTATTACCCTTAATGCATAAGGAAAAATATCTTTATAGGACTTCCTGATTGTAGGCTCTGTAACCCCTGTAGCCATTGCTATATCTGCATTCAAAATTTTTTTTTTGGTCAAAATTCAAGAAAATTCAGTTTAAAAAGATAGTTGAGCGAGCAATTATTTCAAAAATTCAAGTCAAAAAAGAAAAAAAAAAATTTTTTTTCTACTATTTTAATCGTATAAATATTTTTTATATTTGAATAATAAATATTATTATTTTTAATAATATTAAATTAATAGAAATACCATTTTAGTAATAGTAATATATTTTAAATATTTTAAATATTAATATAAAATAATAATAAATAAATACTATTATTTAAAAATATATTTATATTAAATATTATTATTTTTTAATATTAATAATTTAATAATAAATAATTTTAATATTTTGATAATTATCTCAATATTATTTGAATTAAAAATAGATTTTTTTAAAAAAAATAAGTAATAAAAAATGTTTTTTATTAACCCATCCAATAATTCTTTGGAAATGAGTTTTCCCGAAACAAATGGAATCTCGGTTTAAAAAGATAGCTGAGCAATCAATGATTCCAAAAATTTAAGTCAATAAGAAAAAAAAAAAAAAAACCCGAATTTTCTACTATTTAAATCTTAATAGTAGTAATTCATACCTTTAACTGGCAGCGGCACTTGGTCATGGGAAAGCTGAAGTACCATGTAGACAATAGCTGCCAAAACTGACGTCGGACTCCTCCTTATGTCAAGCTCTTCTGTTCTTTTGACGGCCTCTTGCACTGCTTTAATGGCTTGGTTTTCCATTCCAAGCTTGGAACAGAACCGCCTGACGAGTTCTCCAGGCTGCACGGTCTTAGTCTCAACCTCTAGTTGTTTTTTTATAGCTACAATGGCTCTGTTAATATTCTTCTTTGATACTCCACCAGCAACGGTTGAGATTTCCTTGAGCGTCCGGAAGAGTCTGATTTCTCTACAAGCTATGAACAGGCAAGCCGCCAGGATGGAATTCGTGCTTCTTCCTCTGCAGCTTTTGAGAACATCCACCTTATTGTATATCTCACAAGCTCTATCTTTAATTGCTGAGACGAGGCCTAACCTGTCAGTCATTTCTCCAATCAGCTTCAAACCTTTCTTTGGTCTCTTGATGATCCTGTTAGTAGGCTTGGAAGTGTAAGTTGAGAGGTCTTCGGTTTTGAAAACTGGGTTTTCTTTTGATCCAACACGGTTCTGATCTCTATTTTGGATAGAATCAGGGAAGTTTCGCTGCTCTGGAATTTCATTAATGTGATTGAATCCAAGAACCAAGCCACATTCCGAACAGATTTTGTAGCCTGCTCTGTAATCAAGAATAATTTCAGTTTGTCTCTGGCAGTCTAGGCAGAAGTTAGTAGCCATGGTTAGAGCTTTGTATCGAGGTTTGATTCTGGCTGAACCCAATTGGGATGTATTTATAAGGAGCAACTACCCTGTCACTGTCAGGCTGGAAAAGAATAAAACAATTTCCTTCCTTAAAAGGACGTTTTCGGAGGCACATTTAAAAAAAGCCCTTAGGCAACTGGAACTCCAGAAAGGATCAATTAAATAAGATTGGAGCAAGATTTGAGAAAAAATGGCAAGTTGTATCAGTTTTCATCATAATTCCATCATGGCATCATTAATCAGAGTCTGGATGCCAGAACAGCTAGTTGTTGACATTGTAGGGTCCTTGCTTTTGATAAGCTTCAAAGAATAGGTATAGTTGAATACAGAATTTAACTTAATTGGTTCATGAAACTATTCTTAAGAGGTGCCATTGAATCAAATTTAGAGTTCAAATCTAAGCATTTATAATCCTTTCTTTATCTGCAGACTATAGCCTCCTTTATACCAAAAAAGGAATAGGTATAGTTTTTGACTTGAATGTCAATACTCCCTGTAATTAAAATGTTTGTGCTCAAATAAATTTCAAAGGAAAAAAATGTATGCTTATTGTGAATATACAATCTTTGATCTGCGCCAGAGAATTTTTTCTAAACATCTTTAATGGCCTCTTCTGTCGATCAAATTCAAAATTCCTAAGCCCTTGATTTTTCAATTTTGGATTTCACATTTAATTGAGAATATCTTACCTGTGTATTATTGAAAAATTATAAATTAGCTTTTTTAACTAGTACAATGTACGGGATTTTTATTAAATTTTTCATAATTTTAAATTTATTTTTTAATTATTTATGTAATATATAATCATATATTTATAAATGTTTAGTTACAATTAAATGATAATTTATATATAATATATTATAAATAACATTGTTCATCTAAAAGAAGTCTAAACTTTTATAAATTTTTAAGAATTATAATAATCTTTTTTTTCATTAAAAAATATTTTCTTCAATTTATTTGTTAAATACTACAAATTTTGCTATCACTTTTTTCTTGTTTGATAAAAAATCAAGAATGAATGTTTAAATAGTTAAGATTAATAATTATTTTTATCATAATATTGATTTGGTAGTGTATATATATATTTGATTAAACAACAATTCACAATTAATTTTGTTATAATCATTTGTTTTTTATTATCTTTTATTTTTGACATACTTTGAGTAATTATTACATGTATATATTGGGTTAACAATTATTATTTATATATCTCAATAAAGTAAATTTATTTTTAGATAAAAGGGAAACAATAATTCTTTATGTTATGTTTAAAATTTTTATTTTGAAATATTTTTTTCTTTTTAATCATTTTTAAAGTAATTGATAGTATTTTTTGTGAGTTAGATATGGTAGTGATCACCATTCTTCTCATATCATTCATTGTTGATAAAGAAATTCAATAATAAAAAGTATAGCAAAAGGAAATAGAAAATATAAATTTACATATTAATTTGTCAAGATTAAATATATACAATAATAAAAGCAAATATGTTAATAAATTAACAGAAAATAAAAACATTGAAGAAATGAAAAAAATAAAAAAATATATAATACAAAAAGTTAATTATAATCAATCTAAGAAAAATTAAAAAAAGTTATGGACTAAAGAGAATCAAATAAATTAACCAAATATATAATATAAAAATATTTGAATTAGAACATAAATAAAATATTACATTTGTTTTTCAAAGCAAAAACATAGTTTTATCTAATTTTTTTATCAATATTCAAATGTCTCATATTTTCATATGAAAATGTAAGCTTTTATTACTTTAAAAATACATACTTTCTAGTCAATAATTTATAACTTATCTAAAAGTATTAAATTTAAATAATCTATTAAATAATTTTCAATTTTTGATACATTTTGATTTGAATTTAAATAATTATCTAAAAATATTAAATTTAAATAAATTATTAAAGAAAATTATTTGACAGAAAATAAAATTTTATTAAGTATATATATTTGAAACTATCATTAAATTTAAACATAAAAGATAAATTATGATTTAATATATTTGAATTCAAATCTTATACAAAAATTTTAATCCTAGATAGATTTTGATTTCAATTTAAATAATTATCCAAAATATTTAATTTAAATAATTTTAAAAAAAAATTTATTTGATAAATAAAATAATATAAATATTATATTATGTGTCATTAAAAGAGATTATCCACCTAAACATCCACATAAGCAATTTTGATAATGTAATCTTGTATGTTGTAATATAGTATATATATTAGATTAGTATAAAGTTGTTTTGCCCTAGTATAAAAAACAGCAAAAGGGCTTCTCTAAATTATTTTAAATTAAATATCCAAATGTTTATGACATTAATAAATTAGTCATTGATTTTATTTTTATTGGTAAAGCATGGATTTTTTTTTTTAGTAATTAAGATTGCTAGGAATGAATTTTGATCATTAAAATTAAGAGTTTAACATTTTATTATGTTACCCTTTATTTTTAATTTTCTTTTATGATGTATGTATCTAACTTGGGAATCTAATATGTTCTGGGAAGTATTCAGAACACTCTAATATTAAAAAAAAAAAAATAATATATATATAAAGATAAATGAACAGCTTTTGTTTGGTGTTCTTCAATCAGTCGGTAAAGTCTGAAAAACCTGTTATTTTTAATCCTTGTTCCAATAAACATTTGGACCACCATTTAGTATACATTGTTTCCTTATCTGATTCTTACTTTTATTCACGAAAGCAAGAAAAGAAATTAAGAATCAAAGAAAACAATGCAGAAACTAAAATGTGAAAAACATGTTTATGACTTGATCCATTTAATGAAGTTTTTGAAAATCCTGTCAGAACTACCACCTTCACTGACACTATTCATTACCAATTCCTTTAGTTTAAGAGTTCTTGCTTTGAAACTTTCATCCTTTATCAATTGCTCCACCTTTCTGCTAATTTCTTCTCTGGTAATGATCTTTCTTTCATCTCTTTTAAAATTTAATCCAATCTTCCAAATGTCACAAATGTAGCTCTCATTAACAAACTGATCAGCAAAGTATGGCCAACACAGAAAAGGGACCCCGTTGCTTACACCTTCAACAGTGGAATTCCAACCACAATGGCTTAAGAAGCAGCCAATGGAAGGATGAGCAAGAACCGCACGTTGGGGTGCCCAACCCACCATCCTCCCACGACTGGCTACTCTTTCCTTAAATCCGTTGGGGTAAAGAGCATCAGGTTCAGTCCCCTCAGTAATATCTGGTCTGACAACCCAAAGAAATGGCCTGTTGATAGCTCCAGGCCCAGAGGCCAATTCTTGGAATTGGATTGGATCAAAAATCGTGAAGCTGCCAAATGCCACATATAAAACTGAGCCTGGTGGCTGTTGGTCAAGCCATTTCAAACAAGTTGCATCCTCTGGCCAGAAACTTCCTGGCAAGTCTCTAAGCTGGCCGGTTGCTGAAACTGGTCCTATGGGCAGGAACTCTGGAACTAAGCTAAGTGCTCCAGGCTCCAGGTCAAAAGTTGTGTTGCAAATTAGCCACTCTGCTTTTGCAATAGCTTTAGTGTAAGTCCGAGCATATTCAAAAACAGTTTTTTGTGTGGTTAAGTCACCAAGACAGACCCACAAAATAGTTTTTGGGTGCATGGCAGGTGTGTTTGGGTGCAACTGAATCATCTTTTCTTTATTGATTGGAGTACCTGCAAATCAAAGTTCAACAATGGTTAAGGAATATATGAGCTGATAATTCAATCTCAAACTAATACTAGCAGTAATATTGTCCTCCAAGTTTGATCAGGCAAAATTTTATTAATGAATCAATATTGTTCTTTTTTCAAAAAGGCAAGTTCTTATTTATTTGACTGTTATTTAGACGTGCTGCAGTTTGAGTAATACCATTTTCATCAATAACTTCATCTTCAATCAACTTCTCGGTGCTAAAAAGGAAGGCCAATACAAGGGCAGATGCAGGCCAGAAAGCAGCTCCGGGGATTCCCAACTCTGCCGCAACTTCAAGTGCCCATCCCATATTCACATCAGCTATAACACAAGTTATCTCATCATCTTCTAATCTATTAATCTTCTCTATAAGCTCCTTCAGCTCCCCAGGCATGACTTGGTTAATGCCTTCAGTTAATTTCCCTAAATGATTCCTGTCCTCCCCAACTTCCATCCCATCCGGGATTGAAACTAGATGAATTAACCCCTCCCCAGAAACCTTGTGGGCAAATGCATCCGTGACTCTCTTGTGATTAAAATCTGTGTTGACAAAGGTGATTTTGAAGCCATGTTTGGTCAAGCTGTGAGACAGCTCCATAAGAGGAATGACATGGCCTTGTGCTGGATAAGGTATTGCTAGAATATGAGGATTTCCCATTTCTACTATTTAATTCTATATCTCTATATCTGACACACTTGAGACTTAAAGCTCATATTTCTTTTTATAAAGAGATTTTCGTTATCCCCAAGAACCCTTCCCGAAATGTTAATTCTTGTCTTCCTTTCATCGATCGATTTTCTTTCAGTAAGGACAATGAGATTCTTGTTTAATTCTACATCGACCTATCATTCTAGTTGTCCTTTTTTCATTTTCAGTGTAATTAGTTGGGTGCTTCTGCCTGTTATTCATCGTGCCTTATTTTGGCTTAACTGGCTAGGTATGAAACTAATACTATTTTAATGCTATTTTGCTTTTCACAAGTATATTTTATAAGCATTACCTTTTGGGATTTATTGTCAAATATCGAATCTTATAAACGTTAAGGACATCTTTCATCCAATATTTTTTTCCAGATATGAAAGTTTTGCAAATGTTAGCAGGTTAGTTGACAAACGCTAGTGATAAAGGAAATTATATAAATGCAAAATCTTACAAAATGGTTCATGATGAGATAATTGGAAAAGTTTGGTGAAAGAAATGATGCATTATTTGGCAAATTCTATGCTTCTAGATGCCTTGGCTTTGGAATTGATGCGATCCTGCCGGCGACAGTAGTTCATAGTTGTTAATAATACTGAGTCACAAAGAATGAAAAAAGAAAAAAAGTTGATGTAATTTCTGATATGATGAGAGTGGAATTTGTTGGAGCTTGAGTTAAAAAGTGGCAGAGAATAAGATAAGAGGCATTCGAGTTGAAATTTAAAGTTAGGTTCTGATTGTTAAGTTAGTTAAGTGTTTTAAGAAAATGTAAAAACAAGGTTAGCTAGATCGTCTGTGTTGGAGCCATATGGACGCTAATCATGCTCAGAATGAGGCTAACGAGGTCATTAAAGTACTGGAAAAAGGTCATACCGTCTATTACATTCTTCTATGGTAAGACCGAGGAATATGCAAGTGGATATCTTGAAAGTCCAAGTAAGAAGTAATAGAGAATATAGATTAACTTTTAGTTTAGAGAATTTAGTGATTATTTTTGCGTTGTGTGCAATATATAGTTTGTCACAAAGTTACTAATTTGTTGGTCAAATTAACAAGAAGAAAATGTCATTTATGCACATTACTAAGGCTTGAAACTAATTGTTGGTTAAATTAACACCAAGAGAAAATATTGGCTTTGTCTTTTTTTCAGCATTAGGTGGAAACTTATAGAGATCACATTTGACATGCAGGACTCTAGCTGATTAGAAGGATAGAAAACACATTATTAATTTATATTCCTTTTTGTTCATAAATTATTTTATTTTAACTAATTTTCCCAACAAAAGGGAAAAAGATTAGGTGAAGAAATGGAAAATACGCATAAAAACAAAAAAAGAGATGAGAATCACGATCGAATTCATCTCTTCAATTAAATTCTTCAATGTCCTACTGGAGCTACCACCTTCCTTGACACAATTTATAACCATTTCCTTTAGTTTGAGAGCTATTTCTTTGAAATTTCATCACCTACCAATTGCTCTATCTTGTTCTTAATGGTTGAGCAGCGCTTCGCACGGTTCATGCTTGTGTGTTGCTTACTTCTTGAGCCATTGTGGCTGGAACTCCACTGTTGAAGGTGCAAGCAATGGGATCCCTTTCTTGTGTTGCCTAAACTCCGGCGATCACTTCATTAATGGGAGTTATATTTGTGAAACTTGGAAGATTGGACTAAATATAATTCATTAAAACTCTGGTGATTAAGAAGTTTGTATCCAAAGGGTTGAGAACACATATTGGGTTATAGCAACTTATAGCAAAATATAATTCATGAAATTCTAGAAGCCTCTCGTGCCGGGGCAAACACAAGAGCAAGCAGGATCAAATTCTTATTTTGACCTCCTTTTCCTTTAAAATTATTGTTTGACCCCCTTCACACATTTTCTGCCTTCATCTGTACTCTTACTTGTTATATCCAAACAACGAATTACAACCCCAGTTTTTTTATTTTTATGTTTATTGAGTTCAACATCCAACAATTTAATAATTATTATCCAACAAATGAAATGAAAATAAACTTTTAAACGATAATTAAATGTGAAAGTAACAAGCAAAATAATGGAAGTATTTCTCTCTTCACTATGCAAAAAAAAAAAAAAAAATTATCAAGCAAAATAATTTTTTTTAAAGTAATTTAATTTTGGGTTTAGGTGAAAAAATAATTAAAATAAAAATTTTCTTTAGTTTATAAAAATGAAGAAAGAAGTCTTGCAAAGATAGATTTATATGGAATAGTGACTTAAATCTCATACAAGATTTATTTGAAATTAGCTAGATATTATTTAATGGATAACAGTACCTACAAAAGAAGAATTCAAGAAAAAAATAATTCTTAATAAGCAAGTTTATGTGCTTATAAATATATTGAGTCTCTATAGAGTTAGATATGAGAAAAAGATGTAAGAGAGTTGTAGGGTTTATTTAATAGATGCTCCATAGGATTACATGAGATTAACGTCTTTATGGTATTGTATGTTTGATTGGACTATAAGTGATTAAAAAGGTCTATGAATATTAATTGCGAATGGTTGATTTGATTATATGTTTGTAATTCTTTATAACTAGTGAATCTTTTCTCTTATCTATGGATGTAAGACATAAGAGAGTTGTAAGATTTTATTTGATAGACACTTCATAAAACTACTAAAGATTAACGTCCTTATATGTGTGTATATTTGAATATTTATAAGTAAACTAAATAAGGCTGAGAAGGTTCATATAAATATGATGATTATTTTATTTAGGTGAATTAGAAGAGATTGAAATGGTAGACATACTTACAGATGCACATAGGCATGTGTTTGTTTGAGTTTAAAATATTCCATAAAACTAAAGGATATTAAGAGGTTCTATGGGTATTAATTGTTGAGTGGTTGATATGATTTGTATGTTTGTAATTCTTTACAGTTAGTAGATCTTTTCTCTCATCCATAAAAACCACATTAAATTGTTGTCTCTTGTGTGATTGATTGATTGTTTGATTTCTTTTCTGCTAACGTGAATGACTAATTGATTATGGGCCCTTTTTGCCTAACATGTGATATTAGAACTATCGTGATCCTAATAAGTGATATTAGAGTAGTCGTAATCCTAACAAGTGATATCAGAATTGAAGGTTCAAGACATGGGAAAAGATAAGCTCAAATAAGCTTAATTCAAGGGAGGGGTTCATATTTTGATAGATTGTTTGTATAAAGCTTGAAAATACACATAGAAGATTGTTACGAGACTTTCATTACAGGTAGAGCCAAGCATGTTTAGTGTGAAAATTGATAGTTTGATGAAATTTGAGTTGAGATGAAGATTGTTGGAAATAGTGACTCAAATCCCATAAGAGATTTGTTTGAGATTGGTTAGATATTATTTAATGGATAAGAAGACTTGTAAAAGAAAAATTTTAAGAGGAAAAAGATTCTTGATAGGTACGTTTGTATGCTTATAAATATGTGAAGTCTCTTTAGGGTTAGGTATGAGAAAAATATGTAAGAAAGTTATAGAGTTTTATTAAAAAGATACTTTATAGGACTACTGGAGATTAACATCCTTATGGATATATATTAGTATGTTCATGAGTGAACTAGAAGAGACAGAAAGGTTTGACATAAGTATGATGATTGTTTTGTTTAGGTGGACTAGAAGAGAATGAGATAGTCCACATAGGTATGGTTGAATACGAACATATGTTTATTTAGGTTGAGAATATTCCATAGGACTAAACAATTTTGAAAAGGTCTATAAATATTAATTGTTGAGTGGTTGATATGATTTGTATATTTGTAATTATCTATAACTAGTGGACCTTTTCTATTATTTATGGATATAATTTGGTTGGACATAATTACGTTAAATTATTGTTTCTTGTGTGATTGATTGATTGTGGATTTGGCAATTTCAGATATGACATAATGATACAACATGAAAATGACAAGAAAACAAATCGTATATGTGTTTTAAAAAAACATGTTTGGTGTTTATTTGTGTCAACACGAATTTCAACATAACACAATTCGAGTATTATATATTTTAACATGTCTAAACACATGTAAGACACGAAAGCATATCTAGATAAATGTGTCATATGAATACACATTAATATGTGACACGACATGAAAAACACATTTAATTTAATCTTGTCATATGAGTGTACGTTTAACATGTTTAACACATTTTTATATTTATTTTAATTTAATATAAACATATAAAGATTATTTTAATTTTTAATCTTTTAGTTATGATACTTAATTATTTTAAATATTTAATTCTGATGCACATTTAATAATTATTATAAAATTATTTTGTATATTAATAATGTAAATACAATATAAGTATTAATACTAGTCCTATACATCATTATTTTATTCTATAATCTTTAGTAGTTCATCATTTTAAATTTGATACTAAAAACTAATGTAATTATGTAATATCTATTAAATTTTAAATATTTATATATAAAATACATATTAAATGGGTATCAAAATTTTTAATTCTTTTTAATATGCAAATAATATGTCTAGTTTGTTAAGTTATAAATGATGCATAGTTTATAGTTATTTATTGTTTTATTCATGTGTTTGTATATATTCATGTTAATCGTATCTAATCGTGTATATTTATGTTATTCTTGTTTATTTATATCATGTTTAAACGGATTAATTATACATGTATTAATCGTATCATGTCATGTGTTACATGTATAATAAACATGTCATGTTCGTATTTAAGATTTAAATACATTTTATAATTTATGTTATGTTTGTATTTTAATAATTCGTATCAAACATGAGACGAGATACAACATGAAAGTACGAATTGTCATATCTAATTGATTATTTGATTTCGCTTTTACTGGCATGAATAATTAATTAATTAAAGGATTTTTTTGTCTAACAAGTGATATTAGAGTTATTGTGATTCTAATAAAATCGTTATTCAATCTTGAGGGACATTGGCTCCCAAAAGTTTTGACAATCCTTTTGTGTGTATGTATATATACATATATATGTATATATATATATATATATATTTAAATTGATCTCATCTAAATTAAATTTGATTTATTTAATTATGTTTTAGTTTTATAATTTAATTTTATGTATTGTAATTTATGAGAGATTAAAATCATTTTGCTATTTTTCTATTTATTATATCTACCAATTACTATTTACAAATCTTTAAAATTAAGA